AAATGTGAAAGATGTTAAAGAGGACATCAACATGTTTTTTGCTTCAAAGCCTAGTGATTCCTTTAATCAGGGCATTAACAACCTGATTTTAAAATGAAAAAGCATCATTGATAAGAATGGAGACTATTTCATTTAATAAATTTTTGTTATGTTAGTTTTCAAGTTTTTTTCATCTAAAAAAAAGTGAAATTAATTTCTTGATGACCTAATACTTACCTACACTGACACTTATAGCTATTATTTGACCACCAGGGTTTCATCTTTGCCCATCTAAGTATTGGTCTGATTTTTTCTTGCTTGCTTTAGTCTTTTATACCCCACTCAATTGCTCTTGGCAATATTTGTCTTGTGATACTCTCCACCTAAGTCAATGTGTCCTCTATCCTGGTACTGTATATAAGCACCTCATTCAGATAGTTTTATCACTTTTTCGAAACTAACAGAATCCCAGTCTCTAACAACGGGTCTTAGTGGGGAGGAAGGGCGGGAGAGTGTCAGCGGAGGTAAGTATTATTGGAAATACATTTTCAATTTAAGAAAATGTTAACTTCTAAAACATACTTACCTCCACTAACATTTACAGCTAGAATCTCACATTGAGAAGGTGGATGGGCCGGTGAGGGCATTATCTTTACAGAAAACATATGCATAGTTCATGAGTGTATCAAGATAAAATTAGTACCCAAGTGGGGGATCCACGCTACATCCAGAACAGGTATGCTCTTCAGCCTGTATCAAGGGTGGAATTGTACATAAGTGATTATCACTATAGGCCAGTCCCAACCAGACAGCTGAGGTTCCACTTCTCGGGGTTGAAATTAAGGGGTCTTAGTCCCGATATTCCATGTTAGTGGCTAGGGCAATTGTACTGCAACGTAACATAAATATATATATGTATACTAGTGATTGAATCTCAACCTGTAGCCACAAAGTGATGTGTTCTGAACCACCGGAATCAAGATGAGAAAGTAAGCAATACTGAAGCAGACAAACCTTCTCCTCCACCTGAAGAAGCCTGAAAAGCAACACCCCAGGCTCAGAATGATGAGATCGTGTATGCCTTACTCAACCAAAGGAACAGAACTCAATCAGTCTGGAATTATGAACATTCATCCTCACTCCCCAACTGAGTGGGCAAGGAGCATTTCACTTGCCCCAAATTATGGGGAGGACATGGAACCACTGTGCTCAACCAATGACCCAGATGAGACCACTCTGCATTCAGAATTATGAGAAGATAGTGGACCTATGAACAATGTACTGAATCTATATAAATCAAACAAAGGGGCCATGCACACCCCAACCGAGTATCACAGCATCAAATCTGAACCGGTATTACAAGTAGGCTCCTGCGTAGGCTGGGTCGACATCTAGGAAAAACATCCAGGGACCAGGGTAGGAGGGCCCCCAACTTCTCACTCTTCTCCAAGAGTGGAGGAAATTTGCTCTTCAAGTTTGGAGGAAAAGACTCTGGCCACCACCCAGTAGAAACTGAAAACTGGGTGTAGTAAGGACTCCCTAGCTCCACTAGTAGTCTGAGGGTGGATAATGTGCATGGGGGGAGCCCTGAGGAACAGTGCTCTGGAAACAGTGCAATAGGTGAACCAAGTTCCCTACATTTGTAAAAGTACACCAGTGTAAGTTTATTCAGTCTGATAATTGGCAGGGACAAGCTGGATCCCCTTATGTTTTATTCAAGATAGACCATGAGTGGCAGTCCAGCATAGTACAGCAATACCACCTGGTCAGCTCCTAGGTGGTCTTATGGAACACCTCATTTCTACAGATCCTGTTGCAACCTGTATATTGAATTAGTGGTTGCTAGTGCAGAATTGGTTTGATAAAAGCACACCTGCCTGGGTAACAGTTGGCACAGAGTGGGATCCTGTGAAAACGAAGTAAGGAACCCTGAAAGATAGCAATGAAAATACTCACTCCTCTGTATAATCTAGTCAAAGTAGTTAAGATAGCTACAGGGGGTAGGCAAAAGCCTCAGATGATGATACTGCCAGATCATGCAAGTAATGTGAGATAAAAGTATTGGGGGAGGTTCACATACCAGTCTGCACAATGTCCTCTAGTGGGCAACTCAACTAGGCCACTAAGGACATAGAAATATGACAAATTTGATGAGACATGACTCGCAGAAGATTCCTTGCCTTCAAAGAGAGTTCTGAATAAAAAAGTTTTCATCTAGCATCTCAAAAGGCATTAGTGTAGGCAATAAAACCTTCAAGACACTCACTGAACATGACAACAATTGAAATCTGTTCAGCCATTGAAGTGGGAAATAGTGATCTGATGAATCAGTGAAAAGGATTAATCCCCTTCCCTGTCAGAGTGGATAAGAAGAACCAGTCTGAGGACGTTGGTAGAATAATAATGCAGGCTGTGGACAAACAGTGCAAACCACTCCAACTGGCTATATCTGAAGGTTAGCAGCAACGAAAAGAAACCTTCAGGTGGAGATGATATATGGCATATGAGAATCAGGACACCAACAGAAAGGACATGTAATGTAACCTTAATATATCAGGTCGGTAACTGAAATGGTTGTTTGGGACAGAGGAATCCAGAGAGTACTGGGGACTCAAAGAATATTTAGTTGCTGGTATCAAATGATAGTCAATAAGGCTGCCATATACAGGGCAAATATGAAAGGTGCAAAAACCCTTGTCAAATAGCAAGGCCAAAAAACGAATATTGGTTGGCACTTCTGATCAAAGTGGATTCAACCTCCTCTTAATACACAATTGCTGATATATGTGCCAATTCCACTGAGAAATGCCCATCACAGATACATGCAAAAAAAAACTGAGACAGATACATGCCAATCTTTGAAATTAAACCCCAATGCTATACAAAAGACTGCATAGTCTTTTTTTCCTTGAAGCTGGAACTTCTGAATAGCCGGGTGAACCCTGTGAAATTATGGCTGCCTCCACAGAAATGACTTAAGAAGTGGAAGAAGTTGACACTCCTGAAGGTACTGCAAAAGCAAAAATCAGGATGTAGCTATCAATCATTTGCTATCAACTAGCCCTGACAATGGATTGGAATAAAACATAGTTGATGCCTTGGGTAACATATGAATTGGAGGGAAGGCCTAGAATACTTATCTCATCCCATCCTGATGGAATGCATCCATTACCAAAGCCTGAAGATGAGGTACTGGAGACCAAATTGCCAATAGTTGAGTGTTCCAATGAGAGGACAATACACCAGAGTTACAGAATGAAAGTCCAACCAACAGAACCTTGCAATGCAGCATCTATTCTGTTGGGAGAATCTGTTTGGGTTGAGAAACTTAATCTGCTACTGCAGTCATCATCTGTGGAACATGCCAAGATAGTATGGTGATATGATAGAAGTGGTTCTGAGAAAGGATGTCCAAGATTTGAAAACAAGGAGCCCTAGACACCACCATGGAATTGTCAATGTGAAGGTCCGACGATTTTCGCCATAATAAGTCGTGACCACGAGACATTGCCTTTGGAAGAGTAAGAAGGACTAAAACATTGTGTAGGGAAGCCTCATTGTTTATGCATATACACTGGAATTCCTGACTGTTGGTACATGCAGCCCATCCATGAAGCGAGGTATTCGTGAAGAGATGGAACTTTGGATGAGGGGTCGGTATAGGAACCCATATCTTAGTAGCATCTCAAATTAACAACCCCCAAGAGATAAGAATGATCCAGACTAAGGAAACTAGGGAAGCCAGTAAGTTGATGTTTATGATCTTTTGGTTGCATAAAGACCATGAAAAGGATCACTTGTGCACTTGTCCAAAAGGCATAGGGGATTCGTGTGAGCTCACATTCCCAGAAGAGAAAAAACAGTTTGTGCAATGGAAGAAGGAGGGGTGAGAAGGAGTCGGGTTTCTTGTTCCATAGCGCAGAGCCAGATATGAGTCAGCTGAGCCAGACTGAGAGACAAGATGAAAAAAAATATCCAGATAGATGATATATTGAATTGGAACAAGAATAGATGTTTCAGCTCTGAGAATGAAGCCTGCCTTGGTGGGTTCTGAAAGTAGAATCCAGGTGTGCTGTTCTGATAATAGATGAGATGGTGCCAGCAGTAACCATTTGTTTAAGGAATGGTGTGTGCACAGAACTATGGAATAGATGTGCCGAGAAAAATATTGTATGAGTCGGCAGAACCCACATGAAGCCTATGCTAGTCCAAAGATAAAAACATTGAATTGCTGTATCCAACCCTTTTGGGATGCCACCATTATCAAATGTGCAGATAGGAGCCAAGTACAAACTTGGACATCCACAATCCCAGTAAAAAATGTCAATCCAGATTGAGGAATGAATAACCTATGAAACTTGGAGAAATGAGGTCTTGATATAGACCAAAAAAGACAGATGACAGGACACCAATCTCCTGTCTTCCTAGGCCCAATAACCGACAGGAATAAAACCCCAGAAGAACTTGCACACAATTCTCACTACCTCCAGACAAGCCAAACACTGATAGCCTTGGAATTAAATTGCAATTGACAAGGATCTGTGGAAGATGGAAATCCTACAGGGTAGGTAGATAATAGTGGTGAATATCTGACTCAAGGACCTGTAGTGCTCTTGGTCCCATGGGTAAAGGTATCCTATGTCCAGAAATACTTGGAGTCTAGCCTCTACACATCCTGAAAGCATACAATAAACACTGGTGGTGATCCAACCAACAGTGGAACTCGTGGATAAAGACATAATCTATTCCTATTCTGGGTACCAATGTACCGAGGGGCTGATGTCGGGGATCAGGACTCTTGAATATGGGCGGAACTAAGACCCCCTGTAGGAGCCGATGATATTCGAGATGCCAACAAGAACAAGGATGAATTTAGAAGCTGACAGTGAAACTAAAGTACATGTTAACAATGGTTCCAGCTCATTATCAACGAAGGCAGTGAACCTGAGATGCTTCCAACAATTGTAGTATAAGAAAAACAAAAGGTTAGAGTTGCAAGTCTGTAGACATACTCTGTCCCATCAGGGGATATTAAGGTATTCAGGTGAACTAAAACCTCTGCCATTGAGCCCCACAATTCAAGGAGCAGATATATTATGTGAGAATCAGAGTATGCTTCCACCTGAAGGTGGTAGGCTAACTTATGAAGTTCCAGCCTTGTTGGATAAGGCATAACTGTCCCTTCATTGAACTGATAATTAAGCCTCCCTGCATGAGCCACAATGTTAGTGGAAGGAGATAAAACTAAACATTGGTTACCAGACCTTGCAGCTCTCAAGGAAGGTGCAGACTCAAAAGCAACTTGGGAAAGTCCCAAAACCTCACACACTCGATGAACCAACTGAAGAAAATAAATCAAAAGTGTATCCCTCCTTTTTGTTTTGTATTTCATTTAAAGACTGAGTGATTAACATTGATTGGTACAACATTTAGTTAAGTGAGTTTGTTTTGTGGGAGCAAAGCAATGTTGGTCTATATGCTGCATCCACTGTACAGAATTAAACCCCAGATTGCAGTGCTGAAAGCCTGTAAACTCAACACTGTCCCACAGGGGGACTGAAAAGTCAACAGCCAAAAAAAAAGCACATGAAAAAAGCAAATCTAAATTCTCTCCAAAATGTTGAGGATCACCCTCAATTGCAGCCTCAGAGCTCCTTGAAGGGACACCACGGAGCCGAATATATGTCTCCATCCCATCAGGAATAAGATCACTGACAGGCTCAATCGAGAGTGACCCATGACTCACACACACACACCAAATTGAGAATTCGCACTGTAAACCAGCTGGCCAATCGAAAAAAAAAAAATATTATCCAATCATTTTTTTAGATTGATCAAAATATACTAGTGCGGAAATCAACTAGGCAACACAAAAACCACAACCAAGGATAGTAACTATCACAGCACTTCTTTATATAAACCCATGTCTAAACACTTTGTTGAGAAAAAGTGATAAAATTATCTGAATGAGGTGCTTATATACAGTACCAGGATAGAGGGTGCATTGAAGTAGGTGGAGAGTGTCATGAGACAGATATCTCAAAGGGGAATTAAGTGGGGTATAAAAGACTAGAGCATGCGATAGAAAATCAGACCAATACTTAAATGGGCAAAGATGAAACCCTGGTGGTCCAGTAATAGCTATTAGTGTCAGCAGAGACATGCATGTTTTGGAAACATTGTTAGCACTTCTAACAATCACACTACATATATTGTCTACTCTACTTGATACAATATTTCCTATTTAAGGTAAAGTTTCTAAACCAGCTGGGAGTTGTTCTCCTTAACTCTCTAATGGTTCAATTTGAAAGAAAGAAAGGGAGCAGATAACATTTTTCAATTATAAACAATAGAACAGCATTTAATAAATAACAGTGGAGCTGATAAGAGTGATGAAGTAGAAGTCTTTAAAACCCTTTCTGCTTCACAAATTTGTCAACAAAATTCTTTGCTCATGTAACAACTATACTTTTACTCTTGGTTTCGTGGCTATTCTATTTTGGAACATAAATCATTAGATTGTTTTAACTGTACCCATTTAAAGCATAAACTAAAATATTGGCTCGGTCTCGATCAGAAGTAAGAGGTGACCATGGCCATGCCTCCTGAGTGTCTGTATGCCACCACACCAGAACCTAAAATGATAAAACAAAGAATGTTCATGATCTCCGAGTTATTCTAACAAATCTCAAGTAATATATTATCTATCAAGGAACTCAATTCCAGATTATGCACAGCAATCATATCAGCATGAAAATATACATATAGAATTCAGCTGCCACTACTTAGCATGAAGTTATTTGAGAACATTTAAGAAGCCCTGTATAGGATTTTACTCATAATTATTTTTAATAGTTTAGAAAATATGTGAAAAAGATAATATACTTTTAAAAAA